GGAAAGGTAAACGACTATCAGATATGAAGAAGAATGACTGGGTAAGGTCAAAAACAAAAGTCGATCATATCATAACAAAAATTGTGAAACTCAGAGGGAGATTCGCAGCCACACTGCTAGACGAAAAGAACGTTACAATGCAACGCTGAGGACTCTGAAGACCAAAAGCTAGACAATCAAAAGAAAGACAATAGATAAGGTGCGTAGATAATATCAAGAAAAGAGCCAAAACAAATTGGAAGTATGTTTCTTACGATAGAGATCGATGGAAGGAGTTGGGAGGGGCCTATGTCCAAAAATAGACGGTAAAAGGCTAAGAATAAGAAGATACGAAGACATTGACTTCACTATACAAGTCGAAAACACAGTCAGAAGGCTAAAAAGAAGAAAGGGCAGAATCGGCATAACACATACATCTCCCGAAGAAGTCAAAAATCTAATAAAAGCGACAAATGCTAAAAAAGCTCCAGGACCGGACAACATTGGTAACAGAGCACTCAAGAACCTACCAACAAAGGGAGTAGTATACATCACAAACATCATTAATAGTATACTAAAATTAAGATACTTCCCGGACAGATGGAAGGAAGCTCATGTTATGATGATAGGAAAGCCAGGAAAGGACGGCACTTTTCCACAAAACTACAGACCTATTAGCTTACTATCATCAGTAAGCAAAATAGCGGAAAGAGTCATATTACATAGACTAAACGAAGAATCGCTAGCTTTGGGATCTATTCCAGAAGCTCAGTTCGGTTTTAGGACCGAACATTCATGTGAACTACAAGTTTTGAGGCTGACAGAATATATCACTAAAGGTTTCAACGAAAAGATGTACACAGCAACGGCGTTCCTCGACGTGAGTAAGGCTTTTGATAGGGTATGGCATCAAGGTCTGCTCTATAAAATGAGCAACCTAGGCTATAGTGAAGCGATGACATGTCTTCTTGCGTCATACCTAGCTAACAGAAGGTTCAGAGTTCGAATAGGTTCAACCCTATCTGAATTAGGGACCCTGGAAGCAGGTGTGCCTCAGGGAGCGGTGTTATCGCCTTATCTGTACACTATCTATACAGCTGACACTCCGACAGACCCGAGAACTATGGTTAGCCTATATGCGGACGATACAGCCATAGCAGCTAGCAGTAGAGATCCAAACCTAGCTGCCAGCCACCTACAAAGCGCTTTGAATAGATTCCAAAGATGGTGCATAAAATGGAAAATTGCACTAAATCCTGACAAGACACAGGCCGTTGTGTACAGACACAGAATAAGGAGACCAGACAGGGAAATCACTATAGGAAACACCCCTGTAGAATGGACGAACGAGGCCAAATACCTCGGAGTCATTTTAGACAGAAAGCTTACTTTCACGGAACACGTAAAACAAACTGTCTACAAAGCAAAAGCACTAAGAAGTCAACTCTCTTCGCTAATCGGCAGAAAGAGCAAACTTCGCTTTAAGACAAAAATGAGGGTAGCTAATAGTATAATACTACCCTCCCTAACATATGCATCTGCTGCATGGGAACACACATGTCAAACGAATAGGAAGAAAATCCAAACAACACAAAACTGGATAATCAGAGAAGCACTGAACCTACCTCAATACGTTCCACTGAGGTATTTATTCAGGGACTCTGGACAGAAAAGAATCCTAAGGACAATGGACGAAAGAGCAAACACCATTTTCAATGGTCTCGTAAATTATCCAAGCAGGACATTAAGAGAGTTGACAAACTACGACATAAACACTAGAACGGTACATAAACGGCCAAAGCAACAACTTATTGGATATAGAGAAGAAGGATAAATGAAGAAAGAGATAGACACAGAGCCGACTACAGAGTATATTAGACAGTGGGCACCAAAAAAATATAGTATATAAGAACAATATACACCGGGGTGTGTGCAGGCACTATACACCCGGGAATGCACACCCCACCACACGCACACTTAGGTTAGATTAGGTTTAGATTAGAATAGGGAAAACAAAAAACACAAAAAAACATATACACGGAGTGTGTGAGAGCGTTATACACTTGGGAATGCACACTCCATAGTTAAGGTATTAGCATAGATAGACTTAGTTTTTAAAAAAACAAAAATCGCTCACTGTCTAATTAATGTCATGTCATCTTCAAGATAAACAAGAACACCCGTTACATCACAAAAATTTACATAACACAAATAAGAATGTATAAAAGGCCCGTCAGGCACTCTATACCAGCCAGCAGGCACAGGCCCTTCAGGCAGATCAAATATTGATCAAACGCGGACTCTGAGCATCGAGGTCATGTGCGGCAAGCATGGGCTCGGTGGCCAGGACTCACTTCTCGAACACCCAGCCGGCGAGGAGAACAAAATTTTTATTTTGTCAAATCGGCGACTGAGTGAACGAGCACACACATTCTTTTCCAGACAGAGAGCTGTCGGTCTAGACCGATGGCTCTCTGTCTGGAACACACGCTCTTTTTTAGGGACATGAGTCCCGAAGTAAAGCTAGAGTAACTTCTATAGAGTCAGTAAAGTTAAATAGGGAGAAAAGCCGACATGTGTGCTACCCCTACAGTTAGGTGGCCTAACCACAGTCATTAAAAACAGAAGGTGTCTCATTACCCAAGACACCTTACGTAACATTCAGATCATAAGCCTCCTCACGTAAGTCACACGCTGAGGAGGGGTGGAGGAAAAGCCTGGGGGTCAGATAGGTACCACCTCAACTAGTGAGGTGTAACCGGTTTGATTTTCGGACATGTGGATCCCACTCCTACAGTGGTATACACATGTCCCTAGGGGTAGGGTTGATCGCCTCGCGTGATTGTGTGTGTGTGTGTGTGTGTGTGAATAAGAAGATGTAATGTTGCTTTCAACATATGTCACAACAGCATGCACATGGTGACAACTGACTCTTAGAAACTACACTACCTGAATGAATTTCGTGGAGCATAACTGCATCAACGTCAAGCCCTCTAGATACGTATTCGTTTTTTGTTTTCGTAGTACTTTCTATATTTTTAGTCGACTAATCTTAAAAAAGTTTCCAAGGCTTCTAATCAGATGGTTAGTTTAGCTTAGGCCACTTTTTTCGTAAAAATTAGTTAGAATAAAAATCTTTGGACTGGTTTTACAACTTTCAACTCATTAAGCATAAATCAGGATGTATGTGTGATATTCTGTAAATATTCTATCTATTATATCTATACGTATATCTATATATTAGTATTATTTTTTATTATTATTTTCTTACTCATATGCTCAAAAATTAGGCGTTAGCGTATTTTCACCACATTTTTTACCTAATTTAAGATGACTGCTTAAAAATTTAATATTAAAAATGTTCACAAGGCTATTAATATTATAACTTGGCTTTTTTGGAAGAATTATCCCAGAATAAGATTTCCATATCCTGGAAATAACTCCTTGCATGAATTGCATTGAAGTGTGAAAGCTCAAAGCTCTTAAAAGGAACTTCAAACTGTCGAGTTCTAATGAAACCCTTTATGAATAGGAAGCTGGGATAGAAATATTAGGATACGCTCGTACTTGCTTTGCGAGCCATTTAAACTGTTTAAGCGACTACTTAACAACTTTTCATTCGACGGGAATTGCTTTCAGTCTCTTGTCTTGTTAGTTGCGGAGGAGAGAAGACAATCTTAGTCATTTCAGAGGCGGGTTTACGCTGAAACGGAATGAATGTTGCGATTTGTTTTTTTATTGCGGTCGTAACTTCTGCAATAAAACATTTCGAAACGTCAGCATTAATAGGACAGATGTTTGTTACGATTAGAGATACTTGAGAAGACCCTAAATGGACTAATTGTTGAGTGTTTAACTTTAGAGGCTAATTCAGACTGGAAAAAGAGATGAATACAAAAAAATCTGGAAATTTTATAACACAATAAATTGGCTTTTTAGAAATTATACGTTAAATCAAAATAAAACTTTTTTAAAACTGCAATGGACGATCTATTTTACTTAAACATGAGTATAAAAACACTGGAAAGTATACTACTACTTATACGTATATTGAGTGAAAGGTTTTACTAATGTAAACAAAGGTTTAGAAAATAATACACAAAGGAACTTGGAAATCATCCGACAACGAAACCGTTAACTAGATAGATCACATCCTAATATATGAAGTCATTTTTCCGACCTCATGAATGTCAGAAGCTACCGAGGTCCGAACATAGATACTGATCACTTTCTTGTAATGGTAAAAATCAGAGGAAGAATATCAAACCTAAAGAAGAAACATATGAAACAAGACCAAATTAATGTTGATAATCTGCGCATTGAAATCGTTGCGAGAATAGGTGACAAATGGATGAGGAAATAGAGAGTCTGGAAGCGGGGAATTGTGGACAAAATGTAGAAACATAGTAACTGAAAAGCCATTGGAAATATTGGGAAAACCAAACAGATAACAAAAATAGAGCACACCTAAAGACAAATCAAGCTAGATGTACAAGAAGAGCAAAGAAGGAATACTGGACATTAAGAAGGAAAGAAAGATTACATAAAAGAAAAAAAGGCAATTTAAAGAAAGGCAGGTAGAAAACATAGAAATCAAACTGAAACGCAAAAGTTTTACAGAAATGTAACAAAATAAGTAAAGAGTTGTTTAAGACAAGAATAGAGAACTGTAAGGAAAAAAAGGAAATATCCTAAGTTATATGGCCAATCTGAGCGTTAAGTGATCCCTGTGTAAGACACTTTAAAATTAATAATCCGAAATCGGAGACATCCATCCGCCTGTAAAATTTTTAAAAAGACACGATCCCAAGCTTGACGATTAACATCGTAAAAATCAACGGAATATTAATTGATGAGCAACCAAACATATATTTCTTTCCATATGAATTTAATTACCAAGTACGGCAAATTTAAATTTGCCGATGATTTATTTGGATTGGTGATTGGTCGCGGTTTTTTGATATATTAAAAGTTTTTTTTTAATTAAAGTGTAAACACATTCAGGTAAATTAACCTAAAAAATGCAAGCTATGGTAGAAGCTGTAAGTATTGATAAATCTGATATTATAAATTATATTTTGCAAAATGAATTTTCATCTATTCCATCTTCCTCTTTTTCGCGTGACATATCAGAATTATGCGACGTTTTCTCGATCTTCTGCAATATGGAATAACTGTCCTGCATATGGAATAACTGCTCTATTCCATAAGAAGAACAAATTGTTATTAAAAATAAAGGGCGTCCCTTGCCTAAAATGTTCCAGCTTATAAATATTAGTAGGGGGAGTAAGGGAAGTAACAGATCATTTTCAGATAATGTGTACAGCAAGTAGGTACTCATAGCTTACCGGGAGTGAAATAAAAAACAAACTTTTCTGTTGGCCTTACATTTTATTTTCGACAAATATGGGCAAACCTGGTTACGATAATTTAAAGAAATTATTTAGGGCTTTACATAAACATGATACTTTGAAAGATCATACATACAGCCAGATTAAATTAGATTTATCTGTAAAAGAAAATATCTATGTTTCATTAGATAATGCATAACGTGAAAATGCTATTAAACATAACGAAATTGTAAAAAATAATCACGCAGTTTTATGTCGTTTAATTGATATTGTAATTTTTTTAAGTTTTCAGGAATTATCATTTAGTTAGGGGACACAATTAATCGGACCATTCGTTAAATCAAGATAATTATAGAGAACTATTAAAAATGTTTAAGAAATACGATTTGGAATTTTCTAATTTACTTTCTGATTTGGAGACATTTAGCTGTGTATCTAAAACAATCCCGAATGAATTAATATAATTAATTAGCTGCATTTTGAGTGACGTTATTGAATCTCAGATTCAGGAAACCATTTGCTTCTCACTAGAAGTAGACATATAATGTCATTCACGATTATCAATTGTTGTTCGATACGCGATACGTGCTAATATTTGTGAGAGGTTTTTAGGTTTTACAGACGTGAGTAAAAGCCATAAGGCAGAATATATTTTTGATGTTTTAAAGGACAGATTAAAATTTTTAATATCAAAAATAAATTGGTAGGACAAACTTATGACGGTGCTGCCGTGATGTCTAGTGAATTGAATGGTCTCCAGGCAAAAGTTAAAAGTATTGCACCGCAAGCTTTATTTACTCACTGCCATGCGCATAGAATCAATTTAGTTTTGTAGGATACATGTAAAAAAATTAAAGAATGTCGTCTTTTTTTGCGAGTTTAAGCGGATTTGCTTCATTGTTCTTAAGCTCGCCTTAACGGACTAATGTTTTAGAATGGTTTGTTTCGAAAAAAATGGCAACAGTTTGTCAGACGCGATGGAATTTTAAATCTCGGTTAGTTTTCACTGTAGCAGATTTTCGTGAACAGCTTTTGGAAGTTTTTGATTTTATTATTGAATGCGACGATTTTGAAAGTGATGATATTTCGATCCCTGAAGCAATCATTTTGAAAACTTTATTAAATGATTACTCTTTTAAAATACTTTTAAATATTTTTAAGAAAGTGTTTACTCAAACCGATTTGATATTCAATGTTGTTCAAAATCAGTTAACTGACATTATCCATTCCAAAAATAGAATAAAAAAACTGCTGCAAAATCATAGGTATTTTCGTAATGATAGTAATTTTCAGTACATACGCAGTGACGTTTTGGACTCGTTTGATATTTCCGAACCCCCCAAAAAAAGACAAAGGCGTGCCACAGAAAAACGAGTATATTTTGAAATTTTGGATACTATTATTATGCAAATAGATACTCGTTTTTCGAATTTTGAAGATTTACAAATTTTTTACCTCTTTGATTCAAAATTAAAAATTAAAAATGTTAATTAAAAATTTTCCATCATTGTTTAATAAAATAAAATTAGAAAATAAAATAAAAGTTTTATATACTGATCCAAATATTTTCGGAAGGTAGGATAAGTTACAAGATATGTATAATTTTATACAATTCATTACAACAAACTGTTACTGAAATTAATAAATTATTGTCATTAATTCTCTCATTACCAACAACGTCTGTCTCAAATGAACGAGATTTCTCTTGTCTCAAAAGAATCAAAACGTATTGTTAAAACACCATGAAACAAGAGAGAATGTCAAGCTTGTCTCAAATGTCAATACAAAAAAAAAATTTAAAATCTCTCCAAAACTTTAATAAATTTTACGATGACATTATAACCCATTTTGCTACTTCCAAACAACGTAGACTAGAGTTAATTTATAAACATGTTTAGGCTCTAAATTTATAGGAAAAACAAAAAAAAAAAAACAAAAGAAAAACCCAACAATCTCCTATAATGATTGAAGTCTTTATTAGACGGTATACCTATCTGAGGAGACAAAAAATACCTTGCCGACCTTGTCTTTCAAGCCACGAGTCGCCACTGTAAGACAGATCCTTGAGAAAACGTTAGAATTTAACATTGAAATCCATCACCTATTCGTCGACTTCAAGGCCGCATACGACAGTGTTCAGAGAACAGTACTATAAAGTCAGATTTTAATTATTTTATCGAGGTGTTAAAACATGTTTTAATCAGGATACACTCAATTTAGTTTCTGTATCTTTCATCTTGTGAGTTCCATGTGTAAAAACGTCCTGGGTGCTGTTTTCCTCTTTAATTCCTTTTTACAAGATTGCATTTGTAACGACAAGACTACCAAAGAGAATTGATTTAATATTGTGAAAATAATACTTCAATCAACATTTCCACAATACCTTGCAATTCATCGTCCTCCACACGTCTGCTTAATTTCGAATTAAAATCCCCGATTATGATTGTCCTTTCATGGGCTGGTAGCGTTAGATGGTATTTTCCAGATCTCGGTAGAAATTGTTGACTATTAAATTTCCTTGTAGGCTCGTTGGGTATACACCTTAATGACGTTAAGGTTCATTGGGTTCATTGAAATCTCTACTTATTAACATTAATTTATTTTTCTTATCCGTTAAAATGTCGTATAAAATGTCAATGTATTCTTCGTTATGTAGTTATTGTACTTATACTTGTGTTAATTTTCCATTGTAATTCCATTCTACATTATTAATGATTGAAGGCAAAAGGGAAGTAGGTCGCAAACAAATGTCGTGGCTACGGAAAAAAAAAACTGGCGATCTTTTGCATGCCGCAAAAAACAGACGTATGGCCTTAAGATAATTTGCCACTGCACTATAAAAATAAGAAGAATGACCATTTTATTGACTTTTATTTCAAAATTTGACTGCATTAACTTTTCGCCTACTGATTTACGTATATTGTACGCTAAACTAGTAATTTAAATAAAAAGTTAAATTTCAAAATGTAAAATGTTAAAAATGTTGCATCTCTGATCCTTCGCTCTCTCTAACAACAACTTCGGTTATGAGCAGCACTAATCCCAGTAGGTAATTCGCTAACGTAATTTGATGCTCCTTTGTATCTCGCTGAGGACTAAATCCGTAATGTTTAATCTGTGCTGCATTGTTAGTTACCAATGTAGACGGTCCATAATCGTGTAGAACTGTAATAACGGCATATTGCACAGGATTGCATTAGATTATTATTAACATAACATGAACTACTTTGTTAGTTTGTTATGTTTGATAACTCAGTAACTAATATTTTATAAATAATTTTCTAGATCTGTTAGCGGTTATGGAAAATAAAAAGAACTGAAATTGTTCGTTAGAGCTAAAAGATATAGACCAGGGAGGATTTGTTTTCAGGTGGATGTGTGAGGTGACGTTCTGATTATCGCAGAAAAAAATGTGCGATAACTACAGTATAAGAGCGGAGGCGATTGCCGTACGGTGTACAATGCCTTAGCTAGATATTAAAGTGAGTACGCACACATTTTCAGAGGTGTTTCCTTTAACGTATAATCGAAGTTTCGTAAGTTGTAAGTACAGTAATGTCTCTTGTTATGCGGATTATTTTTATGTTTTTTTGGATATATTTAATTTCTGTCGCCAGAATGAAATTATAATGTTGTCTATCCCACCTCAGAGTTCTCACCATACTCAATCGTTGGATTTAACATTTTTAGGGCCATTAAAAATTGCGTGTTATAAAGAATATGACCTTTTTTTATTAAAGCTAACAATTATGAAAAACTAACACCTTTCCACATTGCTGTCCTCTCTACTTTACGAAAGGTTTTTTGAAGGTAGCCAATGCAGAAAAGACAATAAATTGGTTTGCAGCTGCTATTTTACAAGGGCTCCATCTCCCAATATTGCCGGATCATCGGAACTCAGCAAAATAGGCAAAAATAACTCAATTATTAAAGACAAAGAAAATTTGTCTATAAAAACATTTAATCATTTTTCTACGGTCTCTCCTGCTCCAGAGACATTTTCTAGCCAGTCAAAACAAAAATCTAAAGTGACACAAAAGAAACACTCACAAATATCAACTTCAACGCCTATAATGACTGAATTGAAAAATTTGGTACTAAAAAAGTCATTAAAAACTATTCCTCCGAAGAACACAAAAACTAGAAAAAGTAATAATACCAAGTTATTCCACAAAAGAGAAGTTTTTGTTGATTCTTCAGATTCAAACGAGGAAGTTGATCCAGTTTGTGACGATGAAGATGCTGTTAAAGAATTTATTATGGAAAGGGTAGCAAGGAACAATAATGAAATCTGTCTCATATGTCAAGAATTCGACATAAATATTGAATGCATAATGAAATTTAGTTGCATGTACTGTGTAATGGTGTTGATCTGGCTGAAAACTATATTTGTAAGTTTTGTTAATTTACGGTTGTAATTAACGATTAGTTGTATAAAATTATACATTTTTATACACTTTTTGTGATTTATTTTTAAGATATCTGGTCACCACAATACGGTAATACCCGCAGCTTTCATGTAATACCGTATTAGTATTTTACGTTAGTGTAGAAAAATAGCATGGACGATGCAAATAGTTTATTGTTGTGAATTTTGATAGTACATTTATTAAATATTGCCTAAGACACAAATCAACTTTCATACATATAATTTTTTTGAAAAAAAAAAAGAAAACAATAAATTGCTGCATAGGTGTATGGCAATTGACTCCTTTTCCTTAATAATAATGGAATTATCCTCCCCCTCAAATAGGTCGGAAATATTAATATCTACAGAAATTAAAATATTTAAAAATTACTAAAAACATTGTGTTTTTTTACTTTTCTTTTTTCTAACTTTAAAACGATCCATTTTGGACAAAGTCGTAATTAAATAAAAAATAGCGATAATTTAATTTTCTATAAGATACGAAAAAGAGTTTTAATGTATTAGCCTTGCTGCAAAATAGCAATAAATATTGTTACGATAAATTCTGACCCAAAACTGTAAACATATTTATTACTAATATTCTCATTCATTCACGAATTTTCTAGGTGATACCTACCTGACAGACGATGGGTTCCCCTCCGCTATAAAAAACAACAATCGAGCTTTCTGGAGACAAGCCGATGTAAAAATACCAGTTTTTTTTAGACCATTCGCCGCTCTGTCTAAGACGAGGATGCCATCGAACCTTTGACGATGTCCCATTTTAACACATGGTTTCATATAAATAACAGGGATTTTCATTGAGAAGTTCAGTCAAAAGAAGATCGCGCTCGTGTTTTAAATGTAACGATCGTAATAATAAATTATTATTGTAAGATAAATTATTATAAATAAACTTGAAATAAATTAAGTTTGTAAGTGTTATAAATATTGAACCTTTAGTAAATTAAAATAAGAACAATAAATTAGAAGTACTAAAAATATTGAAATCGTAGGCTTCCACGGCCAGAGTCAGAATTATAGTTTATTCGTCTTCCGGGTTTGGACCGTGTCATTTGTGAGTGACCCAAAAGTGGGTTCATCTCGACGTTTCGCTACAATTGTATGTAGCTTCTTCAGGAGAACAAAGAAAAAGAAAAAAGAAAACAAAAGAACAGGAAGATGGGTAGTTAGCAACGGTAACTCAGTTACTCAACGCAACCAGAGGCGAATACTAACTACCAAGATGGGCATTTGGTCACAGTAACTCAACTACTCAGCCACATAATTGACCAGCGCGCGCTTCTTGACGTTCGCGCCACGAAGTGTGCCGATACGTCCCGACACGACAGGCACCGCGACTATAAATAGAGCGGTAGCGGAGTAATCGTCGGATTCACTCCCCGCCTCTCGACGCGTTAGTGTTCTGAGCTGTTGGACGTGAATCCCTGTCCTGGCATTTGGTTTTCACCTCTGGCTGCGTTGAGTAGTTGAGTTACTGTGACCAAATGCCCATCTTGGTAGTTAGTATTCGCCTCTGGTTGCGTTGAGTAACTGGGTTACCGTTGCTAAACTACCCATCTTCCTGTTCTTTTGTTTTCTTTTTTCTTTTTCTTTGTTCTCCTGAAGAAGCTACATACAAGCTACTCACAAATGACACGGAAGACGAATAAACTATAATACTAAAAATATTATAATATATAAGAAAGGCAAGCTCTTTCTTATTCAATATTTTTCATAGATTGCACTTAGGAACTTCATAACTTGCGTAAAAATTTTTTATAATATAATAAAACAATCCATCTAACTTCATTAAAATCGATTAAATATGTGAACCGGTCATTTTAAAATCCACATATACTTGTTGTATGAGAGTAAGAAAAGTGAGTAAACGATGCAGTGTTGAATGCTTGCTTTTGAACTTTTGGTACATCCCTGCTAGAAGTTTCCACAGATAACCATGTTTTTCTATAATATTTAGACTATCATAATTTAAAATCCTTTATCAAGTTACTATTTTCAATCAAAAATACGGTAAATCATTTTTCTGACTCGATAACAATACTAGCTGCACATACTCCCTGAATAGGAAAGTACTGAACCACATTATAGTTTGAAATATATCAAGTTAAACAAAAACAGAACACATTCGTACCGTAGTGTGGTTTTAGTTTTGACCCAGACATCTGTCCCTGAAAATATAAAGATGTTTTAGCTCTTCACATAGAACTTTCTATTTCGTAATAAAATCAACAGTGAAGGAACAAACCTCAATAGGGCATTTCCTTCCTGCCCCTTCATGATATGGGTACAAGAAGGACTTTCCAGTTATTATTCTTCTTCAAGTGCCGTCTTCGTTCCGAAGTTTGGCTATCATCAAAGCTATGCGTATTTTTGATGCTGCAGATCTAAACAGTTGGTAATTGGTGCAATAGTACCATTCTCTCAAGTTTTTCAACCATGAATGCCTTCTTCTTCCTATAGATCTCTTTCCCATTATCTTTCCCTGTTTAATCAATTGCAGCAACTGGTATTTATCTCCCCTCATAACATGTCCCAAATATTGTAGTTTGCGCTTTTTAACAGTAAGTATCAGCTCTTTCTCTTTCCGCACTCTCCGCAAAACCTCCACATTTGTTACTTTCTCTGTCCAGGGTATTCTTAATATTCTACGATACATCCACAACTCAAATGCTTCTATCTTTTTGGTATCGATCTTTTTCAATGTCCATGTTTCCATCCCGTAGAGGAGAACTGACATAACGTAACATCTCAAAAGGCGAATTTTAAGTTTTAGACTTAGATCTCTTCCGCAGAACATCTTTTTTAATTTAGTAAATGTTTCTCTAGCTTTCTCTATTCTGGTTCTGATTTCTTCAGAGCAATCATTATTTTCGTTGATAACAGTTCCCAGGTAATTATATCTTCTTACACGTTCGATTCTTTGATTATGCACGGTTATGTCAGGGAAGTTTTGTGGTGATTTAGATATTAGCATTATTTTTGTTTTGCTTATGTTAAGTGATAATCCGTGTTCTTCACTGCATTCTACTATTTTGTTCATTAGTATTTGAAGATCTTCCCAAGTTTCTGCGATTAGTACCGTGTCATCGGCATATCTCAAGTTGTTTATTCGGATGCCATTTATCTTAATACCTATATTTTGATCCGAAAGTGCTGTGTTTATAATGTCTTCGGAGTATAGATTGAATAAGGTCGGTGAGAGTATACAACCCTGTCTTACGCCTTTCTTGATCTCGATTTCCTCCGTTGTCTCTTGCTCTATTCGGATATTTGCTTTCTGGTTATAGTAAATCTTAGAGATAATTCTAATGTCCCTTTTATCCAAGTTTTTTTCTACTAGCAGTTTCATTAAGTGATCGTGACGAACTTTATCAAACGCTTTGTTGTAATCAATGAAGCACATATATATATATATATATATATATATATATATATATATATATATATATATCTTGGTTTATATCTAGACATCTTTGGCATATGACGTTAAGTGCAAATAGTGCTTCTCTTGTTCCAAGCCCGTTCCGAAATCCGAATTGAGTATTACTAATATCTGCATCTAGTTTTCTGTTAATTCTTGAGTGGATTACTTTGATGAATACTTTTAATGTATGCCCCATTCAGCTTATAGTGCGGTAGTCAGTGCACTGTTTTGTATTTGCCTTTTTTGGTAAGGTTACAAAAGTTGAAAGTAGCCATTCCTTTGGTATTTCTCCTCTTTTGTAGATGCAGTTAAAAAGGTCGAGTAGAATATTCACTGATTCGCCTTCTACAAGCTTAAGAAGTTCTGATGTGATCTGGACCCGGTGATTTACCATTTTTCATTATTTTTATAGCGTATAATAGTTCTTCTTTAGTTATTTCTGGTCCTTCGTCGCCTTGCAAGTTATCTATATTAGGTTCTTGTCTTTCATCGTCGAACAATTCTTCTACATAGTTCTTCCAGGTCCTAAGCTTTTCTTGTAGATCGGCTATTAGTTCACCATTTGCGTTGCATAGGAGATTGGGATGTTTTCGTTTTTGTGTACCTGTCAGTTCCTTTATGTTTTTATGTAAGTTAAAAGTGTCATGTTTGAGATGTAGTTCTTCGATTTCCTCGCATTTTCTTGTATAAAAATTTTCCTTTGCAGTTCTTATTTCTTTTCTGATTTGTTTGTTTACTTCATTATATTTTTGGCTGCATTTTCCCTTTAACTGTCTTCGCTCTTCCATGAGACCTAAAATTTTTTCTGTTATCCATTCTCGTCCTTTTTTCTGTTTCTCTTTGGTAAGCATTTTCTGGGCAGGTTTTATTTATTTATCCAGTTATTATATCATGAATATTAAATACGTTGATAGTCAATTATTGCAGATAAAAAGTTTTCTCTCCTGGAATGTACGAGAGCATCAGATTTTGCATATAATTTACACATTTATACAGAGCACATAGTTCTGCTGTGATTTCTTTCACTTTATTATAAAATTTTTTTGCTCTACGCAAATGGACTATTTTTTCAGCTGTAGCTACACGTTCTGTAGTATTATTGAGAGTTTTTTATTTGAGGTTTAAGTCTAACTCTTTAGATTTACAGCACGCATCCACTTGTGGCCTTCCAAATGAAAAATTATAATTCTGCTTGAACAGATTTAAGTAAAATTGGTATTTAACTATCAAGTCGAGATCTAGCGCCACAAACATTTCAGGTTTTCACATATTCTCCCCTGGTAGAATGTCCTTTTTTTCTGGGGACAGAACTCAATGTGTTCTCGAATTTTATAATAGTAGAAGCAGTAGAAACAGTAGAAACGCCAGCTATAGCTGGCGTTTTTTACCAGGTAAATCTTTTGGCTATTTACCAATAACTAATAAGTAACATACAAGTACAACATACCACTGGTTCTTGCATTTGTCGATTACGAGAAGGCTACGAGAAAGCCGAATAGATGACAGGTACACAACACTAATCAAAAACATCTACGAGAACGCTACATCAACTATACGACTACACGAAGACACAGAAAAGTTCAGCTTAGGTCGAGGAGTTAGACAAGGAGACAATATTTCACCAAAATTGCTCAGCAGCTCTAGAGTCAATATTTAAGAGCACTCAA